AGAAAGTACACAACGCAAGCCAAAAAACGTCTATTAATAAGCCCTTCCTCTCCTGATGCTGCAACTCCTCGGCGTGTAACGTCTGCCCTCGGCTAATTGCGTCGCGTCATTTTTAGCCTTCACGGCGAGCGCCGCTTCACGGCACCAGAAGCGAGTTAATTTTAACTCATCTGAGGTATCATTATCCTCCAATATTTTTCCAGAAATGCTCCCATCCAAGAGCTAATTTTCTGTGAAAACAGCCGTCTCGTGAAGGACATCTCCTGTGACAAAGCGAAGTAAAGGAGCAGCCCGCGTCTTTACACGCACGCGCGCACGCCGCACTAATAGCCCGCGTAATTTTCGAGCATGTTCCAGCACATGATACTTCTATTATGTTACCGGGAGAGCTTGTGATAATAAAGCGAGTCCGTTTTGAAAAGGTGTGTGTGGTCCTGGGTGGTAGGAGGGAGAAAGTGTCTGGCAGGGTGGGCCACCAACCACAGTCCTCAGGGCAGACCTTGGTCAGAGCTCTGAGGATGGCCAAGCTCTTCAGCACCGCACAGACAAATACAGCCAGAGTGGTATACGGCCACCGGTGGAGAGCCAGTAATGAATGAAATATTATATTCCGCGTCAGATTCCAGACTTTAACGTTATTAGCCTCACATAAAATTATTTTTTTGACAGCAAAATGTACATAAATTAGAAAAATGTCTCTGCAGCAAGTTGAGGTCTTCAAGTGGCGGCAAGGCCTTGAAAGGATTTTTTTATTATAATTTCATGAGAAACTGTAAAATAATTTCTCATCTGCTTATATTTTGTAGCTGGACATTTGGAGTGCTGTGAGGGCGTTTGGCCCCTTGCAGTTTCCGTCATTTTTTTATTTGTTTATATTTTTCATTTTGTGTTTTAGATCATCGTCAAATGTAATATTAGATCATCTGAGTAAGCTTGGAAAGCAGTTTTAAAATTACAATTTTAATTGTTGAGGTAAAGAAGTTGTCTGAAACAATTCGTCTTGTAGTGAAAAAAAATCACGCCTCGCTAACTTGTAAAGTCAGAAGTTTCAAAGGAAAGATGCTGGCCTTGCTATGGCTAGATCCAAAAATTGCTTACCTTACAATACAAAGTAGGTTAACACACCAGAACCCGATCAAAATCAATTTAAGAAAAGACTAGAAATGAAGTGAAAAACACTTTTCAGTCCAGAACGGTTTACAAAGTCATCTCTTAAGACATTTTGGACACAGAGAACTGGATCCACATTCAAACACGGAGGTGGAAGTGTGATGGTCTGGGATTACGTTGATGCTTCAGGACCTGGACCACCTCGTGTGATTGATGGAACCAGGAATTCAGTAAATTATTCTTGACGGACAATTTACATAACGATCCAACGTACACCAGCAAGCCAACCTCTGACTGATTTTTTAAAAGAAAAAGAAGAAGTGGCCCAGTCAAAGTCTAGTCTTGAATCCAACTGTGATGCATGGAACAAACTGTTCATGCTTATAAACCCTCCAATGGCTTGTGAAAGACTTCCTGTCAGGTATCAGACGTGTTACACAATCTGACCAATTGTAGCTTCAGGTGACATTTACATTTTCACACAGAACCAGATTTGATTGGATTTAGTATTTTTCTTTACTAAATACAACCTCCTTCTGAAAACCTCTTCTTTATTTGATAATCTGAAGCATCTAAGTGAGGCAAAAAAAAAAAAAAAGCAAAAACAGAAGACTACTACATGGGCGCTAATATTTTTTTTCTAGCATGCAACTTTTTGAAATGTATTTATCTATTCAGGAAAAGAAAATAGATGTGTGAAACTTTACAAGGACAAAGTTTGATATTGTAAGCAGTTTAAATTCAGCTCTCAGTGTGGGAGTTTTCTTCAGGGAGCTGAACCACTGGCCTTCCCGACAGTTTTGGAAGTAAGACAATATTTGGCCGACTTTATCTAAACTCTGCGACTGTATCTCGAGCAAAAAAACATGCGCGGCTCGCCTCAGATAGGATCAGTTCAGTTTCTTAAGAGTCGGCGCAGTGATACTTGAGACTGTGCAGCATCATTACAGTTGAGATTTTCACCATCAAGGTTGTTTATCGCATGCCGTGCCACCCAAGAAGTAATGTTTCCTGCCATGTGAGAGGGGCAGTTGACATTTATGCTTTATTTTTTCATTCCACGTCTCGGGCTCAATCACGACGGGCAAATTACACCCCCATCAAACTGCACGTAATTTATCGTGGCTCCGCCGAGCTCATGCCGGTGCTGGACTTTGTCCGAAAGTTTAGCGATTCTGACAGAAAAAGCATCCGTTTGCAGTAACCTTAAAGATGTTTAGACGTGACCTTAAACATTATTCTTGAGAAACTTCAGAATCACGAACCGAGCCGATCCTTAAACGCGGCCGGCCCGTGTTGCTGCCAGCTCTGAAATGTGCAACAATCGTAGTGTAGGCTTTTTCTTTTTCTTTTTTTTTTTTTTTGTCTTCTATCTAGAGAAAAGATGAGGTGGTAAATAAAATGTTTTTAAAATGGAAATAGGTGATAGGTGTTTCCTATATGATGCTCGGTTTGTTTTCCAGGATTCAAATTGCCTTTCCCGGAGGATTCTGAAGCATGTGCAGCAGCTCAAGAGGCATGTTCTTGTTTTAGACGGCAAATATTTACAAAGCAGCGAGCCAAGGCAAACGTTTCACTGCACAAAAACAAGGAAGGCGGTAAAGGCTTGTGGAAACGCTGTTGTGCTGCTGAATTTATTTATTTATGTATTTTTATACAGCGAGGTCAGTGATAGAAGAAATGAGACTTTAGATAAAAGAGCATTTATTTTATTCACACGCATCTTCGTAAAAAAAAAAAAAAAGAGCGCAAACTAAAGCCGATGCGTCAATTAACTGGTGTGGCAGTTTCGTTTTTCGGAGGCGTTACCGCTGCTCAAATACGCTACTTTTTAAAACAACGCAAGTTGTAATTAATCAAATGTAACACTAAAAAAAAAAAATCAGAAAATAAGATTCTCATAGGATGACATCTTTAAGCTTCACCATGCATTTCACCACCAAAATTTAAAACAGCTGCTGCTAAAATGATTTAGTTTACTAATTAAATCATTTTGAAATCACATATAGTTAGTTTTATGTAGACTACAATAAAACTCTCAATAACATAGCTGCTAGATTTAGTTAGTACACTTCTTGTAGTGGAAAAGACAACGTGTCTCTGTTTTGCTGCAATACAAGTTAATGGTTAGTTTGTAGGGCTATCTGCACATGTAGCCAACATGTAGTTTTGCTGCTTTGACTCATAATGCTGCTTGTAGCTTTGAAAACCTTCATTTGAGTGATGGGTGGAGCTTTTTTTACTTTCCATATTAAAAGTGCTCATGTTTTTCTGGAAGCAGGTGTGCTACTTTATGCTTCACTTGGCCAGAGAAAATTGTTGTTCTGCCAGTTTCTCTGGCATCTCATTAAAAGGACTTTGGACCAAAGGAACGCTAAGGTGGAAAATCCTGTGGCTATAAAAGCACAACATTTTAAATACCTTTGATTCCGAATGTCCACTAAGCTGAAATGACAAAAATCTTTTTTTTTTAATATTGAGTTTTTAACTTGGGAGGGAATTATTTTTAAAAAACCATCGAAGTATAGGACGTACAATTTTCCAATCATTCAATGTTTTTTTTACCAGATTTGTTTCCGAATCTGATGTAAAAAAAATAAATAAATAAAATTGTATGAAGATGTATCTTAACTACTGGTACTGGATTTGTTGATTACAATATATGTCTGAGTATTTCTTGAAACAGTATGAAATTACCTCAAACAACTTTTTTTTTTCTTTTTACATTTTATGAATTTTAAACCACAAACTTCAATGTACTTTATTGAAATTTTATGTGACAGCTCAACACAAGTATTGCATAATTGTCAAACAAAAAGGAAAAATGTGGCTTTGTTTCATCCCAAGAAGGTGAACCTCAGCTTTGCATAAAGGTTTTCTTACCATGATGCTAACACCACCATCCTTCATCAAGGCTGCGGTGTGTTTAGCATGATAGCCAATGCATTTTTCTGCAATATATTGTATTTTGCATGTAGCCCTCAAAGTTTCATATTTTTTGCTTGTTTGACCCAGGTACATTCTTCCAGGTCCAGAAACGTGCTGAATGCAGGCGCACACAATGTCTTTCAAGACTGAACAGTTATTTGGCTCTTTGTGTCGATCTATCAGGTAAAATTCTCCCGTGTATATTAGAGGTTGCAACATGGCAAAGACTTTTCTGTGCAAACTGCAATCACACCTCATGACCGTTTTGGCAGATTTGTGCAATTATTAATCACTACAACAATGGTTGACTTTTTACAGTGTGTTGTCATGATGAGATGCTAACCTTTTATCCCGATAATCTTCATACCACTCATTCTTTTGGTTCTCCACCAACACCTCGTCTTCCTTTATGATCCTTTATAACGCACACCTGTGATCGCTGATCAAAAGCCCAACCGTCTCTGTGGTGTGCAAGCATGTGTACGGTTTGAGCCTTCATGGGAATTACCCTGTGATTAATCACTGATTGTTGGCAGGGAGGGAGGTTTGCAGAGTGTCTGCGTTCGCGTGGGTGTTTGTATGTATCCGATTGTTCACAAGACCGTGTGAAGTGAAGCTGTCACACAGAGAGGACAGGTGGCCGCGACGCATGGCCTCTTACAGGAATTGCCCCAGTCCTTCTCTTTAGTGGAGGCCAGTGACGGGTCAGTGCATTGGCAGGGACGCAAATGCACATGCACAAGCGCATGCCAGTAGAGCGTGACGCAATAACACTGAGTGCTGTCTGCGGCGCGGCGATATTCGAGACGGGAGAAAACAGGAAACTCGGGCAAGTCTCCTCGGCCGAGTGTCATAACACCTCCGCTTTCCACTCACTTTTTCTCTCTCCTCCTGCCGCACATGCTTACACAGACAAACACGCAGTCGCACACACCCAGCCTCACACCGCCAGTCAGCCTTTCGCTCTCCACTCACACCCTCAAATCTTACCAAGTTCAGCTCTCCCTGCTCAAAGGCAGACAGGAGCAGCACGGCAGCCTGTTAAACGAGTTGAGGGAAGGAGCAGAAGAGTCACAGAGTGAGACATAGACTGGAAGGAGAGAAGGAGGGGAAGGGGGGCTGCATGAGTGAAGGGAGAGCAAGGCAGAGAGAGCACTGTTGCCCATATGCCGACAGGAGCATGGGCGGTTGAGCAACCTGGCCCCCACTGAAGCTTCCTGACTCATGGGAGCGTCAGGAACCAGGTCCCAAGAGAGCCTGGAAAACGCTGCCGGATCACGCGTGGTGGGAGAAGGAGGGGAGAGGAAAAAACTCTTGGAAGGGGAGGCAAGAGGCAAGACAAGCTGCAACGGTAGGCTGTCCCACTCAGCTGCTGTGCCGTGATGACGTCGGCGGGCATGTGACCCAGGGTCTCCAGTGACGCCGCATGGAGGGCAGGAAAGAGACGAGTTTTAAAGCTGGTGCCTTTTGGGTTGTGTGAGGGCTCTGCTCGCCTCCCCAACAACCACAGAACCACAGACGTGCGGCTCGGGGTTGGTGTCTGAGGGCGACCTGGAGTGTAAATGGTTAATCGTCACGGGCCAGCACCAGTCACAAGGACGGCGCTAAGCAAGTAAGTACGTTCCAACCACACTGGCCAGGCAAGCCAGTCCGACACCATCTGATCTATCCGCAAAAGCGATATTTGCCTCTGCAATTTTTTTTTTTCTCTATAAAACCAAACCTGGTCGTTACTTGTGGTCATCCAAATAGTTGATACGTAGAAGCATGTCTTGTGGATGGCTTTTCCATTTTTTTTCCGCCTTCATGACACGCTGCGTGCTCTTGGTTTAGGACGTGTCGAGGGTCACAGAAACCGCAGAGGAACAAAAGTGGGGCTTGCTGGAACCAGAGGCAGCCATGGCATCCAACAGCCTCTTCAGCACAGTGACACCATGTCAGCAAAACTTCTTCTGGGGTGAGTACCTACCTTCGCCGGTCACCGATTCTCTTCTGGAAACAGATCGATTGTGGGACTCGGGGTCACGGAAAGGATTCGGGGGAGGGAGGTCAGCTGCTGATATGCGGATAGCTTCTGTGATGAGGATAAAGATCTTGGACCTGAAGATCTTGAAGGATTTGAATCCAGACGAGGATCAGCCGAGGTCACTGCCATCACTTTTTGGGCGTTTGCGGTGGAAGAGAGAGAGACCCAACCGTCATCAAGACTTTTTGACAAGTGACCAAAAAAAACAATAAATTAAGTCTGCACTGAGAGATTCCAGTGTTTACTTATATGCAGTGTTTATAAATATTCCTGAAAGAGGGAGATGACATGTTTGTGCAGCGTACCCTTAGATTTAGAGAGCGATGCCATTGCAGAACCAAAAACAAAGGCAGGGGTGATATTTTTGACAGACGTAAACAGCCGCTGCGCAAGGGAGTTTACAGTTGAGCATTGGAACAAGATGTGGGGATTACTGGGCTGTGTGTGGGTTTATGTGTCTGTTGGGAATACAGTATTGATTAGGCTGCCAAGAGGGATCTGTAATCGCTTCCTAAAGCTGCTCGGTCGCTCTGCTGTCATCAATTAATCTGTTTAGATTTCCTCCAGCACCGCAGCGGCTTGAACCGGCTGACGGAAATTCGGAACTGAGCAAACTCATCATAAACTCAGATTTAGAACAACCACTTCGTTCTGATTTTTATTGGACTTCTAAAAATAATTGCTCGCCTTGGATACTTTTTAATCCCCTCGTTTCTCTGCTTCAAATTAGGGGACAAAAATAACTCCTGAACAGGAGCAGAGGCTACCTGGGAAGGCCAACTTGCATGTTTCACTTAAGACCCCCTCTGCCTCGCCCCTTCCTGCAGATTTACTTTAATCTGCCGTGACAGCTCTTTTACAGAGTATACTTCAAGGTTGCAAAATTAACTGTATTGCATGGATTTTATTTTTTTTTCCAAATAGAAGAAAACAAATATTTCCTCCTGACGCAAGACCACATGTCTGCCTCCCTGCTCCGCTCCACAGCCTTCGCTCGCCTCGTCCAAATCAAACGCGTAAAAGATGTTTTGCAGAAGTCACTCCGTGGTCAGCCACAGCTGCTCCGCACAGAAGCAGGCTGCAGGGAATGTGGAGAAAGAGAACGAGAAAGAGAGAGAGAGTGCGGGCTTTCTAACAATCACCGCCACCTATTAACGCTCTGACCCCCTCTGACCTTTCGGCGAGTCTCCGGGGCACGAGAGGACAAGAGAAGAAGAGCATGGTGCCGTATAGATCCTTGCGGATTTCAGGTTGGGACACTTTGAAGGGAAGGTGGTGAAAGTGATCATTAGTTTAAGTGTGCATTGCCGCTTGTTGTTTAATATCAGGCCTGAAAAAACTCAGTCCCTCTAAACAAAAAAGAAAAACATGATTTAGTGTGTCTAACATATCATGGCAATTGCAAATGTAAGTAGTTTTCCTTGAATCGCTTCGTTAAAAGTCCCAATGATGTTTCATCTGCGCTTCGCTTTAAATGCTTCAAGTAAATCCGTTTAAATAAGATCACGTTTTCAACTCCTTCTGTTGTCGTGTTTCGTTTGGTCCAGCGACATTCTGTTTTCATCGAAAGCCCCCCTTCCTCTTTGTGTGTGTGTGTGTGTTTTTTCCACTCTGCACATTGCTGCTTATCAGGAACACTTTTAATTCAAGACCCAGCTTTTTATCCACGGCAATAAACTGAGCTGGCGAAGATTTCTAATTAAGCAAAGACAGAGGACAGGGATCATTAAAATTTGTCTTGGCGTTTTGCATCAAGCTCTTCTCATTAAATTGCTTCAAAATCCATTTTTTTAAAATTTTTATTATATCTCCTCATACTGGCAGATCAGATGGAGAGGGGCAGAATAATCGACAACACGTGTGGCACCCACTCAACCGCCACTGCCTCTCTGGGGAACATTTAACTGCCTATTTTCTCTCTTACAAACCTAATTACGTATAGACAATTAAGTCATGGGTAGCAATTATCGTTCAATAAAGTCCTGCAGGAACAGTAAAGAATAATAAAAAATAAAAAGAAGAAGAAGAAAAAAAAAAGGCAAAGGGACCCAAGTCAACACGATCAAAAGCGAAAGGGGTATATCTGAGGACTCCAGGCGGAAAACTTTACCCCCCTACCTCTGAAGAAAATCTCGGATAATTTGCAAGGGAAACCGTATATGTATTTGAGAAAGGCAAGCTTCTGTTGCATAAGTATTGCCTTAGATCTAACCACAGGCCTGCTTCTTGGAGACATCTTAAAAGTGAACCAGACATCACCCCCCCCACTCCCCACCGCTGCTCTCCCATCCCACCCCCGTCCCAGCCGGGGAGCAAAGTGAAGCCCACTCATCAATAGGTAATTTGAAAATGCCAGAAGGGGGAAAAAAAAGAAAAGAAAAAAAAAAAGCGGCAGCGCTTCACTGGCTGCTACTGTGCAGCGGAGACTCTTCCCTCAACTCTGCGCTCAAAGGAACTCTTTTTAGCGTCTCTTAATTGTACCTCTGAGGCAAACTTGCTATTTAATCCCAGCAGGGTCATACTTGATGAAGTACAACGCTTCTGTTTGTGTTTGCCCAGGCTATTAAAACCTATTAGCCAATGCTTGTTCCTGAGGGGGAAAATAGAAAGGTTCAGAGTGTTAATGTGATCAGGATTTATTCGGAGATAGATTAATGTTAGTGAAATGTGCAAGCAGCGAATGGTGGGCTTGTTGCGGCCAAAACCGAAGCTGCGGGTAGCTATTACGGTCTGAATGAGAGTGTCATGGAAACACAATAACCTGTGATTTTAATGGGCGGAAACAAGGTATTCCCACTTTTTTTTTTCTGTATTTTTAGGAAACTATCTGTAATTTTCGCCCTCTTTACAGCAATGCTGCGAAGGCAACAAAGGTTAGGAGTAGGCATGGGTTGGTTTTCACAGTATATGGAAGGACTGAAAGTGCCCTTCACAACACAACAGAAGCATTCTCTGATCACGTTCCTCATGTTTTTAGTTTTTGTAAAGTGATAGGTGAGAAAGTGCCAAAGCAAGCCTGGATTTTTGACCGTATGGGTCATAAATTCATACAGTGACAAAGTGCTGACGCTGACAGACTGGTTGCTGTGCAAGGGTGGTCATTTGAGTTGAGTAAAGGCTCTTACACTTTGGAAGAAAGATAAATTCATCTGTTTGGAAATAGTTGTGAAAAAAAACAGGAAACTAAAGGGTCAAGAACCCGTCACTCTTATTGGCTCAGGGTCTCCGGGGACGTCAGGTTCGTAAAACGCCTGGATGTGTCTCGATGAAGTGAAGTCTCCCTTGCAAGTTTGAAGTAAATGAAAAAACTTTTTTTTTCAGTTTGTGAAATGCTTTTGTGCCGATTGGCCAGAAAAAGGCCAATCGGGGCAATTTGAGGCACCTGCTCTTCCGCCACGCACGATGACCGAGCATTGTCAATGCTTTCATTGCATTAAATCTGTGATATAATGAGACAAAATATCAGTGGATAGATTGGATTACCCTATTCTGCCTTAAAACACAGTTTTTATCCATTTCTGTAGACAAAAACAAAGAATAACATTCTGAGTTCTTCATTTTAAAAGTTCTGCTTATGTTTTTCCTCTCATGAGCTGGAACATGGAAGAAGCACCACCTATCACTCTTAGTTAAACTACTTTATAGCATGTTTGCTGGCAGCTGACTGTGAGTGGCAGATAAATATCCAACTCCTATAAAAAAATGGATCAAATTCTGCACAATAACCACTCAGAAACATAAGCATATCTCTCAAAATACTAAAAAAAAAAAATAACAACTGCATGTAGCTAACACCATTATTAATACTAATAATAAGTCTGCTACATGATTTATGCAACTGGAAAAATAAATATGGATGTCCTCCATTATATAGAGTTAATTAGACCATGTAATGTGTTGTGTAAATACAGTGAAACGTATTTTACTCAGTGTTATCGTTTCAAGTGAATCTCACACACATACGCAGGTTAAATAGCTTAAGCTAAGTCTGCCAACAAAAGCTTGTGAGAAGGGCTTCTACATGTAATTTAATGTACAGTAAATAACCTGCAAACGATTGGATTCTGTTTTCCTACCTAACTCTGAGCTATTAGTTCATGGATTATCGTTGGGCTTTGGTGGAAGAAAAGGAACGGAGAGTTGTTAAAACAAATGAGATTACTCTAATCCCTGTAATATGAAGACTGTGACAACAAACCCACAATTCGGCGCACATTTTCACAAGGCAGCGTGTATTATCTTTCGTTTTATCCCAATACCCACTTGACTTGCAATGGGAGTAATTACACTATTATGATAAGGTGACCTGCCAGCTGACTGTTCTGCCTGTTGATAGTGTTGACGATAGACTCACTCTTTAAACATCGTCTCTGCCAACCTCTCTTTTTCTCCTTCCTTTTTTTTTTTATGTTTTTTTTTTTCTCACAATTTCTTCCACATCTTTGCCGTTTTTATTCAAAGTAAAAGTCTGACCGGTCTGATTTTTGAACTCTTGACTCCTCTACATGTTTCCAGGTAACCGTTAACCGGGGAGTCTTTCAGTGCGGCGCTTTTTTCAAAACTTAGCGGGTTCAGGCCCTCGTCCTCGGCGGCGGCAGCATCACGCTGGGCGAATTACCGTTATCCGATATAAGCCCTTAGAGAGGAAGTAACTACCTAACACTTTGAAAATTGGTCTATCTTGGGCCGGGTTCATTCTAGTGAAACACAAGCCGCTTCACCTCGCTCCGTCCCGTGTCGTGGCCTTCCTTTTTCCCCACCGCCACCCTCACCTTTATTTGCGTTTGATTCCTGTTATTCAATCAGCAGACGGCTTTGGGCCGAGCTGATACAGCGATCTCGAACCGCAGGGAAAGCTGAACATCGTCCCGCGACACCCCTCCCCACGCGTTTGGACTTTCAGCCTTTTCTATATTAAGAGGAAATATGGA